TTTGGTCAAAAAAGAGTTTGTGCTGCTTGTGGTACTTATGTTGAAGTTGATTTATCACCATGGTTTGGTTTAAATAATTAAAATAATATAATATTATAGCTTAAAAAAGTAATAGTTGTCTAAAATAAAATTTATTAAAAATATCAAAACTTTATATTAAATAATGTAGTAATAATTTTTATTAAAAATATCAAAAATTTATATTACATAATACAGTAATAATTTTTTTTATTTTATTAAATTTAAAATTTTAAATAATAATAATTGTTTGTATTTTCTTCATTTGAATTAATCCTGGGAGGCCAATTAGATTTAAAACTATACTATTTTTTGATTTCTATTTCTTTTCTATTCTTATAAAATGCTTGTTCCAAACCATATACAATACTTGAGGTGTTAATTTAGTTTTTCATTCCATCTTCCCTTTTTGCTTTTTCTTTGGATAATGTCACTTTAAAATCTATTTCTTCTTTTCAATTGACCCCTACTTGTGGAAGAACTGGAGCTATTCTTATTTGAAATGTTGATAAAGATGTGATTTGTTCTTGGATGATGAAGTTGACTTTCTTTAATTTAACGATTTAATAATTGAAACATAGAATGAAACGATTTTATTAATAATTTGGTCTTCATCTATTTCTTAAAAAGAAATATAGAATGAATTATCAAAACTATTAATTTAATCGCCTTCGATTTCAATATTAATCCGTTTCAAAATCTAAAAGGTCTTCTTCATTTTTATCTTCATCTTTATTATATTGTTGAGATCTTACAACTTTTGGTACATAGCCAGTACGATGAATATTTTCTTTTTGTATTTAAGATGATGAGTCAATTGGTGATGCTGGGTGATGATTTTTCTTCACGTTCTTCTTGTAAATTTCCTGGAGTTGATGATTCATTATTATAGTTAAACGAAAAATGTCATTTTCTTTTCTGGTTCTTATTATGGTGATGAAACTGATAAATCATCAAAATCTTGAACTTGATTATCAATTTGATTTAAACTCATTGAAATTGGTACATTATTTTCACCTGATAACCATTCTTTTGAAGACTATTAAAAAAAATTAGAATCAATTTTTTTTTTTAAATTTTTTAAAAAATTATAATTATACATACTAAATATGGTTTAGTTGAAATAGAATTTGGGAATAAATCATCAGAAAATTGTGATTTTACCATTGAAAAAATGATTGGAGTAATATTGTTTGGGGTTGCTTTTAATAAACGATCTATTTCTACTTCCATAATATTCAATACCATTTGGAATTGCACAAATACTTTTCTTTATTCTGAACTACTCTATAGCGAAACATGTCTTTCTATCATCTTTGAGAACCAACGGTGGCAATGAATGGTGAATTACTTTTGCAAATACAACGAGATGGTTTAACACATTAATTACAAACAACTACTTGAACTCTTCATTAATTACTTTTAATTTTCTATTGATTTGATTCTATCTTGTTTTTAATTGGCTTACTACCTAGAATAAGCACACATACACATTTATTCGGTACAACTAATATTACATCAACTAAAGAATTTTTTTCAAGTAATAATTACTTAAAAGTATCTCCAAAAAAAATGTTGTTGTTTTTGTTGTTGTAGTCTTTGTAACTTTTGTTGATGTAGTTGTTCTAGTTGTTGAAGATGTTGTTGTTGAATTTGATAAAATAGAAAATCTTGTTGAAATCTTTGATATTGTTGTTGTCTTTGTCTTTCTTGTTCTTGTTGTTGGTATAGTTGTTGTTTTTCTAGTTGTTGTTGTTGACGTAGTTGCATTATCTGGTGATGTTCTAGGTTCATTTGTTGTTGATATGGTAGTTCATGTTGTTGTTGTTGTCTTGTTTGTTGTTGGTATAGTCTTAGATTTTGTTGTACTTGTTCATCATAGAGCATAAATCTTTCAAGTGAGTGTATTCCGTCTAGTCTGTCACGATAGTTTCTATGATCGTATCCAAGATGTAGACTTTCTACATATACCTTATCCCTGAAATCGGAATTAAAGGCACAATGATGGCAGTATTCCCCTTTAATGGTAGAGCAACGGCAACGGCAACGGTTGTTTTTTTTGAAGATGAACTTTTCCAAAACAATAATAAAAAATTGCACCAACAACAATAAATAAAAAAATGCACAATAATAAAATATGAATCATTTTTTTTTAAAAAAATAAATAATTATTTAAAATAAAATTAAATGTATATAAGTGTAAAAAATAAAAAAATAAATTATATGATTTAATGTATAAAAAAATAAAAGATGGATGTAAAAAAATGAGTGTGAGTGAATGAAAACTTTAATTTTAAAAAATGAAAAAAAAAAAGAAATTTAAAAATTTTTAAAAAAAAATAAATAAAAAAATAAATTAAAAAATATTCAATTGTTTAATAATGTTTTTATTAAATTATTATAATTTATATTTATTTAATTTGATATAGCTGTATAGGTTTTATTTTATTTTATAGTTTTAAATTGAGAATAATAATTTATTCTATATTTTGATTTGAAAAATTCATTAAATTCTCTCTTAAATGATATCCTGAATGAGCTACTTGCAAAATCGTCCATACTAAAAAATTCATTCATACTAAAAAATTCATTCATACTAAAAAATTCATTCATGTTTATCGGTTTTCTTTCATAAAAAATGAATGAATTTTTTAGTATATAAAAAAAATATATTATCACTAAAAATGAAAAAAAATAAAATTATTTTAAGTGTGTATAAAAATAAAATTATAAAAAAGTTTTTTTCTCTTTACAAAAAATAATATATATTTAAAAAATTATAGTTTTATTTAAAAAAAGATTTTTTTGATTGATTTTGAAGTGGTTTAAGAGAATTTTTTTCAAATTGGGATTGACTACCTGCTTCGTTTGATTCTATATCAGAAGGTGATTGATGGTCTTCAACATATGATGTTTTTGGAATTTTCATTGTAAATAATTCATCAATAGCATCGATTGAATCTTGATCATATACCTCATCATCTTCTTCTTGATAAATAGAAGGGTCATCTTTATATTTATTTATTTGAACTTTTCGGTATAAGTTAAAATATTTCTTTTCAATATTTAGACGTCGCATTTGAATTTTAGTTTGCATTATTTGAAGTAATACAATTTTATTCCTAAGAACCAAATCATCCTGGTGGACATTCATTAAATGTTGGAATCTTTTTCTTCTTTCATTTTTTCTTTCATCTTTAGTTTTGTCCACATTTTTTTTTATTTCTTCGTTTTTTAACCTTTCTTCACTGTTAAAATAAATTTTTTCTTTTTCTATATCTCTATAGTTTTTTATTAAAGATTGAACTTCTTTATAGATTTTTTTTTCATTTTTGTGATATAAAATGAAATCTTCTTTATTGGCAAATTTTAATTTGTGGTTTTTTTGAACATATTTTGGAACTTTGTATTTTTTGCCATATTGATCCAATCTACCTGAACAATTTCTAATTTTATCTTCAATTTTTTTTTCAGAAAAATTGGTATGAAATTGTTTGTTAAATAAAAGAGCTACCCTTTGCATGCAATTGGGGAATTTTCTATTTTTGATGGCGATTTCAAATAACACTTTTGTTTGAAAGTGAGAAAAATGTTCACTTTTAAAATTTGATTTGCCCAAATATTTGGAATTCACATTTGTATAATCAGGTTCATTTGATTCTTCTTCTTCATCATCATCATCATCATCATCATCATCATCATCATCATCATCATCATCATCATCATCATCATCATCATCATCATCATCATCATCATCATCATCATTAATTTCTTCAATTTTAATCTTTTTTTCTTTTGATAATTCATTTGATGATTTATTTAATTCTTCAATTGATGATGCTTTTTTACTTTTAACTTGATTATTGATTAAAATTTCAGGTTGAGAAGGTTTTACATATGTATCATATTCATCTAGTTTATTTTGACTTAATGGTGACAATTTTGTTGATCTTGTTCTAATATTTTCTTTATGATCCATGGATGAGTTAAATGAAGAATTTTGTCGTAAATTCGATTTTTTATTTTTTATTGGATTTGGAAATACTTTATCAAAATTTTCTTCATCTTCTGAATTTATAAAATCATTCATTTTTATTATTATTATTATTATTATTATTATTATTATTATTATTAATTCTATTGTTTTTTATTAAAATTAAGATAAAAAATAAATAAATTAAGATAAAATGGTAATTATTTATTGTTAATTTGATGGTTATAGTATAATTTTAAAAAATGGATAATATAATTCTTAATATTGGCAATTTATACAAAAAAAAAAAAAAATCTTAATTTTATTGAAATGGAAATTTTATTAAAAAGTTCATATTACATTTTTTTTCATATTTTTACATTTTTTTTACCATTTTTTTTTACATAAAATTACATGTAAATATGACAAACAATGATAGAATATTCAGAATAAATGTATTAGAAATTGATGTTTTTTTGTTTATAGATTTAAATAATTACATTTATACAGATCTGTTTTTTGTACAAAAATGTAATTATACAGATCAAAATTTTTGTACAAAAAACAGATCTGTACAATTACATTTTTGTACAACTAAACTCTGATACACACCCACATACAAAAAAAAAAAAATTTATACACAGATATTAAATTAACACTAACTCACATTCAAACTAACTCACTCACTCACTCACTCACTCACACAACACATTCACACAATAAACGTGGTTGTAGTGTGGGAAATTTTTTTATTTATTTTTCGAATTTATTTTATTTTTTAAATAATTTTTTTTTTTTTTTTAAATTATAAAAATAACACAAAATTAAAAATATATTAATAAATAAACTTTTTTGATAATATTACACACAGTGAAAAATCATTTATTAAAATACTATTATAAAAAATAATATATATATTTAAAAAAATGAATAATAAGGAAATTTTTTTATACAATTGCCCAATTTGGTGTGATAAAGAAAAATATTTAATAAACAATATTGAAATAACAACTTCTGGTTTACATATTATGGATTTGATATGTCTTATGGAATATACAAATGGAAAAGGTTTATATTTAAATGACAATATAATATATTTTCAATTAGAAAAGTATGTATAGTTTTATTCTCAAAAAATTGTGAAAATTTAAAAATATTTACTAATTTATAATTAAATTAAATAATAATATTATTTTTATTCTTATTTAAAAAATAAGTTTATTTAATAATGAAAAAGATAAAAAAGAATTTAAAATTTTACCATCACAATTTAATTCCAAACTATGTATGGATAGACAGATTTATACAACAAATGAAAAAATTGATGATATTATAAATTGGGTGAAAATAAATGAAATTAATAAAACTTTTGTAGCTATAAACAACCCAAATTTAAAGTTAGTATTTTATTTTTTTTAGAAATATTTAATAAACAAGTTTTAACAACATTTAAAATATATTTAGTCATTTTAATACAGTTATAATAATAAATAAATTTAATAAAAAATATATAATTGTTTTGGATTCAATTTCAAATAGAAATTTAAACAAATATTTATTTTATAATTTTAAAAAATTTTTCATAAGAAAAGCACTTCTTTCATCTACATATTTAACAAATGATTTTTTAGAAGATAATTTTGTGTTATTAGAAATTCCATGTATTCAACAAACCGATAATACATCTTGTGGTGTACTTACTTTATATTTTGTAGAGCAATTTAAAAAAAACTATGATTCAATTATAAATTCAATACAAAATTTAAATAATGGAAAGATTAATATAGAACAATTTTACCAAAATACAAAACAATTTTTTATTTTAAATAATAATTCAATAGATGGTTTTAATAACTTTATCAAAAAACAAAGACAACAACTTAGAGATATCTTTCTTCAGTATACAACTGACGATTTTAGAAATAAAATTAAAACTCATAAAATTTACATAAGGGATAATTCTAATGTCCATCAAAACAGTTTTCCAAACTCACTACCAAACAATAATAATAATAATAATAATAATAATAATAATAATAATAATAATAATAATAATAATAATATTAATAATAAAAATAATATGGATTATCAAGTTTTTGGTGATGATTTGAATGATCAAGATGATATTTATGATTCAAGTGACGAAGAGAATTTATATGATACCAGTAGGTTCGATCCAAATGAACCATTTAGTTTTATTATCGAAAATCAAATGCAAACCGAGTTTTTAGAATTTTTTGATTCAGACAATGAAAATGATTCAGAAACAAATTTTAATAAAAAAATTGACAACATATTATTCAATTTATATGAAGAAACGTTTAAAATAGGGAAAAAATGTAATAAAAGAAAAGAAATAAAAGAAGAGAAACAAATTTCATTTCAAGAATTAAAAAGAAAAAAATCAATTTTAAAAAACTATCGTCAACTATTGATCCAAATGGAGAAAAGAACAGAGTCTATGCTAGATTTATATTTAGCATATGATTTGATGGATGATAGAAGAACAAAGAAAATGAAAAGAAAACTTTATGTTAATCCCAAGAGATTAGAAAAAAATTTAAATTCACCTAATAAAAAATCTTATAATAAAAAATCATCAATAGATAATGAAATTGAATTAAAAAATAAAGATTGGGTTCAATTGACTGGTTTACAACAACATATTTTAGATTGGTTATATAAAAAAATAGAACCCCAAATAAAAGATCAAACTAAAAGATTATCACTAAAATCAAGAATTCATTTATTTTTAACATTTTTAAAGGTATTTATAGATATTATGTCAAATGAATATTTTATAATAATATTAATATTTCAACCAATTTTTAAATTAGATGGGTAGTAATTCATATACAATACTTTCAACAATTTTTGGTGTTAGTCAATCATATGTTTCAAGAGA